ACACCCGGAGCACGGGAAGGGGCTGGATGGCCAGAGCCCCCCTGCCACCCCCCCCCCAGGAATAACCTGCTCCAGGCCCGGCAGAGTCATTTACAATATATACTGTATATTTTATTATAATTGAACCAGCTCACTGAATCTACAGCTGTACTCACAATCCAGGAAAAAAAAAAAAAAAAGGGAAAAAAAAAGAGCGCACGCGCGAGGAAAATACTGAAGTATTCCTATGGAGTATTTGTTCCAGTTAGCTCCCTCCGCGGGCAGGAGACAGAGACTGTAAAAGAGGAAGACTGGAATTTTTCCCTGATGTGCTGTCGTTGTGGGCGCCGGCGCCGCCGCCGGCCCCGCTGCCGCCGGGACAGCCCGAGGGAAGGAGCCGGGGGGACGCGAGGGGGGCAGAGCCCCCCGGCAGCTGAACCTGCTCCGGGGGGATGAGGAGGGAGAAGAGGCTGGAGCTGCGGCATGTGGGGGATTGATGGCACCGTGCGTCCAGCCTGGGCCTGCAATGGTCTCCCCAGGCTGGTGCCACAAGATCAACCTGTTCCAGTGGTTCAAAGTCGGATTTTTTTTTTTTTGTCTAGATCGGGGGGTTTTGGGGCTGCTGGTCTGAGGCCAGCACAAGACGGGAGAGTGAGAGGGGAGCCCATGGCTGCAAACAGGGCAAATCAGACACCCTGAGCCCAGGAGGAGCCGCGAGTTCTGCCGTCGGTTCCAGTCCTGCCGCCCAGGCCTGGCTGTCCCAGCACGTGGCCGCTCTGCCCAGGGCGCTCAGCCTAATACGCTGGAACAAGCCAAGCAATTGAGAAACGCAATCGTTTCTGCTCCTTACCTGTTAAATCCGTTCCTAATTGCTTTTCTTTTCTGGGCAATTGCTTCGGCTCCTTTCCAGCTCAGGCAGGGCAGCCTGGAATCGCAATGAGGCCCCATCTCTCCCTGCCGCCCTGCAGCTCCCCGAGGAGGCATCTCGGAGGCTGCGTCACGTCCTTGTGCAAAGCAGCATTTGCCAGGAAGCAAGTTGTGCTGCAGGCAGCGGGCACCTCCATAGGGATGTGGGTCTGCTAGCTGAGCACGTGCAGCAGGACCGGCTGCATGGAGAGATGGGCTGGAAAACCGGGGAGCTCGGATCAAGAGGTGACCCAAGCCCTAGAGATGCTTCCCTAAGGCTCCCCTCACCCTCTCATCGCACCCTGCTCAGGCTCCAGGTCCTCCAGGCCCTCTCCGTCCTCCCCGCCTGACTCCTCCCGCTGTGTCCGCGTTTGCCTTGGATTCTCCAGGGACGGGTTGGGAAGGGGCAGCATGAGGAGCTCTGTGGCTGGGCAAGCCGTGCGCTCCGACCCTGCTGGCCCCAGATGCGGTCCTGGCTTAACTCCTGTTCCTGCTCTCCCGAGACCTTCAATTCATCATGCGGAGGCCGCGGACTAACGAGGCCTTTGCATTAGCGGCTGAGCAGGATGCAAAAGGGATGACTCGGTCCTACCGATCCCCCCGAGCCAGCCAGGCTGGCTGGAAACTGATGTCAAGAGGGATTGACAAAGCCCAGCTTTCCATCTGGGGGCAATGGGTTAATCCGGGCAGCTGCTCTCTCCACCAAAGGAGGCTCATCGGCATCGTCTTTCTGCAGTGAGGCAGAAAATGTGTGGTCCGTGCGGATTAAATGCAAACGGCCCCAGGGTGCTGTCATGCAGGAGGGCTCGGGAGCTGTCCCCAGCTCCCAGGCAGCTGGGAAGAGGGTTTTTTTGGAAAACCAGCAGAAGGAAAGCTCTGAAAAACGCAAGACTACCAGCTCCCCTGCTTCTCAGCAAAGCCCTGTACCCATGGGACCTTCATCCCTCTCCAATGCGCAGCTGGGTCTTGCTGCTGCACAAGGAACTTCAACACTGGCCTGGGCTACCCTGAAGATGGGAGGCAATGGGACCAAGTGTGGCCAGAGCGTCTGGGACGGGTCCTGCTGCTCTGCATCCCTGTGTCCTGCTCACATTTCCCAGCTCCCCCACAAACACCAGCCAAGGCGACGAGGGGCAGCATCTCCAGCAGGGGTGGAAGCTCCTGGCTGGGGCTGTGCCCAGGGAGCTGGGCTGTGACCAGGGAACCTCAGCCAGAAGTGGCATCAAGCGCAGGCCTGGGCCGGGCAGTGGGTCATAAGGAGGTAGAGGGGGCTGTGAACCCAACATGGGGCAAGAAGCAGGTTTGTGCCGCTGAAGCTGGGGCCTGCCGGGCTAGATCCATTCCTCTCCACCCGGGCAGCATCTCAGGGAAACGGACGCGCCCAAGACAGTTCCTCAGCTCCAGGGGATGCTGAGGAGGTGCCTTCATGCAGCGGGTCTTCCTAGGGTGGCTCCATGCATGAACCCAAGTGTCTTAAGGAAAGAAGTGTCCGAGGAAGGGAAGTGTGTGAGGACAACTGCACGGTGCCCCAGGGCTTCCTAGTTCTGCAGGGAGGGAAGAGGGGCTGTTGGGAGACACGCTGCGGGGCAGCTCACGTGCAATCCCACGTGGCTGCTTCCCTGGAACTATCCATTTCCAAAGGGCTCCTGGCGCTACCATGTGCCCACATGCAGGCCAAGGAGAAGGGAAGATGTTCTCATCTCTAGGGCTGAGATGGCCCTCATCTCTAGGGATGAGAACAGGGTGCTGAGGCTTTGGGGACCTGCTTTTTCCCCAGCTATGGCCTTGGGGAGCTAGCACACGACTCCCCTCCATTCACTGTCTCCTTGGCTTGGAAAGGGAAGACCCTGGGGACCCACAACCACAGCAGGGTAGAAGGTCCCAGGGATTTTGTTCTGCAAGGAGATGCAGGATGAATGAGACCCATGGGAAATGTGGCCCTGAAGATGGAAGCCCTCCTCCTCAGCCCTCCGTCCCACTGCAGACGTGCTGTGCGGCGCCAGCACGGTCCCCTTGTCACTCCCAGCACAGACCATGGCCACGCTGAGCTCCCTCCGTGCTGGGGACCGGCTGCGGAGCTGGGAAGAGCAGCGCAAGCTGCGCGGAGCGGCCCGACAGGCCTCCCACCTGGGAACAGCCTGGCGAGGCCGAAGGCAACGCTGGGCTCCTCCTCGCACCTGGCTCTGGAGACAGGCTGTGCCTCGGTGCCGGGACAGGCCGTGCTGGCCGTGGCCGCGATCTTTGTTCGTCGGTGGCTCTCGGGGTACTTGGGCCTGGCAGGGCCCCCGGTAAAGTTCAAGTTGCTTCCGACTCCAAGGGGACAAGCGTGGAGGAGCGCGGGAGCCCGGGGAAGCCAGCAGTGCTGTGTGGAAGCAGCGATTCCTCTTCTTGGCCAGCGCTGACGGAAAGGCCGGGCTGTCCTCGAGATTGCATCGCTCCCTTCGACTAAGCACTGGCTCCAGAAACCTCTTCCTCACCCTTTTCCCTTCCCCAACCCCCGCCAAGGATACACTTGTGCTAAAAAAAAATGAACAAATGAAGGAAAGCGTGAGGGCCTCTCGCTGGCTGGAGCAAGCGGAGCAGGACGGGACGGAGGGCGCGGGGCCGGCGAGCTCCTCGCTGCCGCAGGCTCCCCGGCCACCCCGCTCCTGCTCAGTCCAAGGTCTTTGCTAAGCAAT